GTGCAACCACCCACTTCGGGAGACAAGAGTCTCCGCGAGCCGAGAGTGTGGGGAGGTACCACTTTGGGCGAGCGCTAAACCAACTTCCGGGCATCCCTGGCCGGAACCTATCGTGCTTCGGTTTGCCCATTGCTTACGCGATTTTCGCTCTCCACCGACAGATTTCCTTCAGACTTTCCAAATACTCTCCAACACTCACAGAAAGAGGAAATCTACTCAAAACACTCTTCTGTTCGCATTGAGGCCTTTTAAATAACTTAAAAACATCGTTTTTTAGCCGTCTCTCGCCTTGCTCTCTTACCTCTTTCCTGTCTCGCTCTGAGCAACTCACGTCTCCTGTGGAAATCCGGATCGCCCGAGCCGAGTAGAAATTGCTCGCTTAGTCATCGAAGAGCGCGCGCCCACTCACAACAGACAGTGTCACAAGAGACAGTCTACCGCCAATGCAGTCTCCTCGTGTAGGATATTACGATTGGTCATCTTGTCATTCTTCTCTTTATACCTTCCACAGTGCCTCTTGCCCGATAAGCGCGCTGTACTTGGCAGTCTGCAAACCCTAAGTAGCTCTTGTAATAGGTGTGCTTTCACAATACGACGTGGTTGTTCACAAATAATGCCTCAAAGCCTTTTCGAAGGAGACATGCGTTATATCTGACATATGATTTCTCAGAGTGATCTCGTGGGAGTGTCTGGCGAAGTATCCTCACCATAACATTGTGCGGTTCAAGAGGGTCCGCGAGGAGACTAGATGAACCGCTTCTCCGAAAACCTATTGCCTTATCCACTCTTTTCAGTGGCGTTAGCGGGTGTACCGCATCTACGATGCGTCAACGACTTGGACTGACGCAGTTACTGCTTGTGCTTCATGGTACTGGAGAGATGCTGGGCTTTAGCTTTCCTCTCACGTACATAAGTACATGTTTTGCACTATCTACCTACTGCGCGGCTGGTAGTCATTGTTCGGAGCGTCCGTTTGACAGCAATAAGAGACGGAAACGCTTGCAAAGGTAACCCCCCAGTCTCTTGGTATTCCTTTGCGCTTGCCTCGCGGCTCCGCGCATTGGCCACGGGAGACGTTGGCTTAAGTGGATCCCATCATAATTGACGTATACACCCAACGTTCATAAGCTACGATGACGATCCCAAAAAGTAAAAAATGAACTAGTCTAATAGTCGTCATCTATCATCATCAACTACCATAGTCGTCTACATAATTCTTCTAGTCGTCTAAGTCGTTATACCATAGAACCTTGAAGTCGTCTACCAAAAAGCTAGTTGGTGTCGTTCTCGATCATAACGTAGTCACGATAGTAGACACGTTGCTCGGCCTGTCTTAGAGAGTCGAGACGTGCCTCTGCATCCACACTGTCGACGCTCAGTAGCTGAATAGCGTGCTCGTACTTGGCAAAGACGTTAGCCATAGACTCCCCTAGGTTCTGGTGCAAGTCGTGAACCACGTTAGTACAGTTGTTGGACTTAGCGTGATCGGACAACGTAGACAGAAACGTACCCTTGTAGAGGCCAAGTAGACGTAGATACGTATAGTGAATACTCATAGGTATACGTTGACACCTACGGGCCCTCAGGTTAGCGTCGTGGGGTAGTGTAGGGACTCCGAGTACGTGACCAGTAGTACTAACGTCCCAACAACGTAGAGAAGAGCTGACCAGCCTATGCATCT